GTCTATTAGTCACTTTTGCCATTATTGTGACAAAATCCCAGACAAAAGCACTTTAAGAAGGAAGGTTTCTTTTGGCTCACAATTGGGCAGTACTGCCCATCTTGGTGGGGAAGCCATAGTGGCAGACAGAAAGGCAGCTGGTGACATGTACCCACCCTACAGAAGCAGAGCAATAGATCCTGGTGCCCAGCCTGCAGCCAGATTGTGGGACAGTGCTGCCAACATTTGGGGTTAGTTGTCCCATTTCAGTTAACTAGATCAGTTCTCTCACAGACATGCTCAGAGGCTTTTCAAATTGGCAGTATTCATCATGGTGGCTTAGTCATCCATAAGTTGGGCATGCTCCTATAAGAAACTCCAAATGCTCTCACTGGTTCACTCCTTATCTGGGGTGAATAGAAATGTGTTCTTCTCCTCAGGAAACCTCACACCACACTGTATAACTGCATTTATAAGCTATATAACATAATCAGAGTCGTGGAAATAGAAGGTAGGCTGATGTTACCAGGGCCTGGGGGAGAAGAATGGGAGTATTCCATGGGTATAGACTCTCTCTTGTGAGGGGCCTTACTTCTTCCCCTTTTGGCTAAGAGCACAGTTTTGCAGGACCACAGACTGGTTCACAATGGCATGAATATGCTTAAGACCATTGAACTATGCACACTTGAAAGTGTTTCATTTGAGGGTTGGGGAGATGGTTCATTGAGTAAAATGTGTGTTGCAGTAGCATGAAGACAAGAGTTCAACCTGCAGAATTCTTTAAGAAAAAAAAAGATGAGGTGTGGTGGTCCAGGAAGGCAGAGACAGGCAGATCTCTGGGGCTCAGTGCTCAGCCAGTTGAGTCTACTTGGTGGGCTCCAGGCCAATGACCTCCCTGTCTAAAAATAACAAGGTAAATGATTCCCAAGGAACAACATTCAAAGCTATCTACTGGCTTTCACACAGGTGAGTATATACATGTACACTTGTACATGTATGAATGCATGTACAAAAATATCAACGTTTAAGCTACATGAGTTTTATAAAAGTTTTTTTTTAATTCATCAAAAGGAAACTATGGAGAGACGGAAGCATCATGCACTCCATTTCCATGAGGCAAAGTGCCAGCGGGGACCCACCTTCTACACTGGCAATTTCAAACGCAAGATTCACTCCGAGGCTATGATTTCAAATCAGGAAAGTAAGATAACTGACCGCTTATAAAAGCCTGTTGGGTATTTCTCAGCTCCCTCTGATATTACTCTCTAGAAACTAACTGGAAGCCAACAGTTTTTCTGACTGTATTCCTCAACGCTTGTTTATGTCATTAATATGCAAATATATTCCCAGCCGGCTGTGAGCTCATGAATTTTTAACCAGAGATTGAAATGTTAACTAAAGCTGGTGATATGGGGGATTATAAGTATCGCTTAATCCTTAGATTAGAAATCTCCAAGTGAACTCATGATCATTATCCAGCAAACAACCACCCAAAGATCCTCAAAGTAGACCTTCATGATTGCATTGTGGGTAACAGACACAGTTTTAGTGTATCTATTTGGGAATCTTTAAAAACAGTGAAACCAGAGCTGGTAAGATGGTGCAGTTGGGAAAGTACTAGCCGCACCAGTATAAGGACCTGATTTCCAACCCCAGAAGCCTCCTTAAAAAAGCCAAATGTGGAACCAGTATTTATCCCTAGTGTACAAATGGACTTTGGGAACCTATTCCCAATGAAGGGATACTATTTCAGCCCAGATACATGGAGGAGGGCCTAGGCCCTCCCCCAAAACGATGGACAGACTGTGATGAACCCCATGGAAGGCCTCACTATCCTTGGGGAGTGGGTGGGAGGTGGGTTGGGGGGGTCAACGGGAGGGCGTGGGAGGATGAGAGGGAGAGAGAATGGGAGGATTGATATGTGAAATAAGAGTGTTTCTAAATAAAAAAGATTATAAAAATAAAAAATACATAATTTCTTGGGAAGAAAAAAGCCAAATGTGCTAGCCCATGTCTATAATCCCAGCACCAGGGAGGCAGGGCTATGTAAATCCCTGAGGCTCATTGGCCAGCCAACTTAGATTGGCAGTTGAGCTGTGAGAGGGTTTGGAGGGAGGAAAGGTGGGGGAGGTGCTCACATAACTATGTCATAATCTCAAAAATAAATGAAAGGTTTTTAAAATTTAAAAAAGGGAGACCCTGTCCCAAAAAGACAAGGTGGATGGCACCGGAAGAATGACACCCAAGGTTGACCTCTGCCCTTCACACACACACACACACACACACACACATACACACATCTGAACCTATGTGTGCACTTGCACACACATACATACACACACCTGCACCTATGTGTAAACTTGCACACACATACATACACACACCTGCACCTATGTGTGCACTTGCACACACATACACACACCCGCACCTATGTGTGCACTTGCACACACACCTGCACCTATGTGTGCACTTGCACACACATACAAATAAAATAAAATTGAAAACAGTAAAATCAAAGACACTTCTTATCAAGCTTGGCCTGGGAAAACTCAGATCTCCATGCTCACACGGTGAGCACATTACTGACATCCATCTCTCTAAATGTAAACTATAGATGTCCTTCTCACTCTCCGGAGTCTGGGGCATATTTTACCTTTACACTTCATCTCCAATCAAATTAAAGCAAGGCAACAAAGGCAAACTGCATAACACATCTGCAGAACCAAGGCTTGCATGTTACTCTAAGTGGTGCTTGGCTTTTGATACAGAACAGGGCAGCTCTCTAGACTTTGTGGAAGTTTTATTAAAGTCCTCACACCCCTACATAATGAATTGGGTGTGTACATTAGTGCCTCCCATGTTTTAGAGTCATCATTTGAAATCTTATAAAGTTAAAATTTCTACTATCCGATTTTTCTTACTTTTTTTTTTACCAAAAGGTTAACTTATTTTCAAAATTGACTTTATAGAAATGGTATCATCTTTGATATCACAAATCCAATACTTCATATTTCTTAAAAGAGATGGTGCACATCAAAGTAAATATTTCACATCTGCAGAAGTTTGGGTTGAGTTTTTTTGTATTGTTTTGCTTTCGTTTTTCAATGTCTTTTAAGGGATGTATTTTACTACTTTATTTATTTGGGTTTTTGAGGCAGGGTTTCTCTGTGTAACAACCCCGGTTGTCCTGGAACTCACTCTGTAAGACAAGTTGGGCTCGAAATCACAGAGATCCTCCTGCCTCTGCCTCCCAAGTCCTAGGATTAAAGGCTTGCATCACTACCACCTGCTATACGTTACTATTTTTAAATTATGTGTGTTTGCATCTGTGTTGGGTATGTGTACATGAATGCAGGTCCCTATGTGTATTGGATCCTCAGAAGCTGAGGTTACAGGAGGTTGTGAGCTGCCTATGTGAGGTCATGTCCTATACAAGAATAATATGTGCTTTTAACCGCTGAGCCATCCCTCCAACTCCCGTGATTTGTTTTCCTGATGCCATTAGTGAATCTGTATGCTGTCATCTTTCAGGAGTTTTTGCATTTCAACAGTTCAACCTCAAATATATTACTGCCTGAGTTCCCTGACACCAAAGAGATACCTCTGCCTTCCGTGGTTCTGTGTGTGGTTTGATACTGCCTCACCAGCACCTTCTCTCTGGCACCTCTAGAACCACACAAAGAAGCATTTGCTCATTGGTGGTCAGCCATCCAAAACCCACAGAAGCCAGAGAAATCCCTGCATGTGCTGGTATACAGGCACACACACACACACACACACACGTGTATGCACAATCACATAAACACACAAATATGTATGCATGTGTAGGAACATATGTGTCCAGCACGGAAATTCCATGGAGGAGGAATGTTTCTTTTTCTACTTTACCGAATGAGGGACTGAAGCATAGTGAAGTTCCAGAGCTAGCAAACAGTGGTATGAATTTCTATGGGTGTTTGGGAGTGTTTGATGTGCATAGGTGTGTCTTATATCAGTTTATATGAAATTAAAAGCTCAATGACCATACCATCTTGAATGTACCCAATCTTGTCTAATCTTGGGAGCTAAGCTGGTCAGGTCTGGTTAGTACTTGGATGGGAGACCTGGGAATACCAGGTACTGTAGACTTAACAAAACAAAACAAACAAAAATACTCTGTGAAGCTGGGTGGTGGTGGCACACATCTTTAATCCCAGTATTTGGAAGGCAGAGGCAGGGAAATCTCTGTGAGTTTGAGGCCAGCCTAGTGTACAAAGTGAGTTACAGGACAGCTAGGGCTACACAGAGAGACCCTGTCCCAAAAAACAAAAATATTTAAAATATTAATAGATTAGACATAGTACTATTAGTTAAATAAAAATACAACAGGCAAAACAACAACAAATCTGACTTCAAGAGCTGGAAATACAACTTGGTAGTAGAGAATTAGTCTAGCATTTGTGAGACCCTGAAAAAATGGAGACAGCAAAGACAGATAATGGGGAGAAAGGGAGGAGGGGAGGAAGGGGTGAGAGAAGGAGAGAGGATAGAGGGGAAGGGAAGGAGGATACATTAGCAGATAGGAAGACTGGTAGGTGGTTAGCTAAATGGATGGATGAATGGTGGATGGGTGGATGAATGGATGGATGGAAAGTGGATGTATGGATAAGTGGATGTATGCATGGATGCATGTACAGGGTGTGGGTAATTGAATGAATGTGAGGATGAATGGATGGATGGATGAATGGATGGATGGATGGATGGGTGGACAGTTGGAAGAGTAGATGAATTAGAAGATTGGAGGACAGATGGGTGGTTGAAAGAATGGACAGATGGACAAGTAGGTGAATGGCTGAATAGAGGGACAGACTCTAGATTGGGGAACTGAACAAATTACAAAGGTACATGTCCTTGTGACTATCCCAAGAAAAGGCTTGTCGCATGACTGACAGTGCACTAGCTTACACCAAAGGCAGCTTGCACAACTTCTCAACATCAGGACGAAGACAGGCTCCTCCAATCTAGAAGAAGAATCCACTTACATGTATTCCCTGTGAGCAGAGTGTACAGCTGCCGCGTTGCTGTAACGCCAGAGGACAATGGCCGAGGACAGCACATCCAGGATGGCGTCAAACTAGAGAAGGAAACAGGACATTAGTGACTCTCCAGAGTCAGCAAGGCACAACCATGAACACACAGGGTAACTGCACAGTGACCCAGAGAGTTTGAATAAGCATCTCGAAGTACACACATTTCTGCATGCTTCTTGAAGCCACTTTGAACTCCATGGTGGAGTCCTGGGCATTACATACTGCCCTGGAAGCAGGACCGTGGCCCTTGTATGGTTGGCTCTGCTCTCAGAGCCCTGGGATCCTGGCAATCTGGAGATATAGCAGGTTATAGCAATGAGAGGTACAATTTTCTGAAATACATAAAACTTCTTTTTCCTATAATAGGCAAGGTGACATTAGCCTTTTCCTATACATTGTAAGTAAAAAAAAAACTTGGGGGCAAACTCTAATTCTGACTCACACTGAAACTGTTTTAGCTACGTCCAGAAAGTCTACCAACAGTTTAATATTGTATAGAAAGCTCTATGCTTTTGAGAGAACCAGAGGGGGGGATTTCTGAGAATGTATGTATGTATGTATGTATGTATGTATGTATGTATGTATGTGCATCCGTATATAGTGTGTACACACATGTGTCTATGTTGTCTATTTACTTCTGGATGTGTGTATGCGGTGTGTGTTTCTATTTCTGTCTTTGTGTGTGTTGTACATGTCTGGTTGTGTTTATGTATTGTATATGTATCTCACTGTGTGTATATATATTGTGCATTTATTTCCTGATATGTGTAAATGTTGTTTGTGTTCTGGGTACAGTGTGTGCATGTGTAATTATCTGGACAGTCTGAATCCTTCATGAGACTCTTGAAAGAATTTGCAACGTCCTCAAAACAACACTCCCCAAACATTGAGTTCTTACAACAAAGGGCAGATGTGGGTCTGAGACCTGATACACGATGCCTTATGTCTGTGTAACAAGGAGGGAAGGAATTCCCTTGAGTCATCACACATCTTAATTCTTGAGGATATACTAGCGCTGGCCCTCTCTTGAAGCGCTATGAAGAAATATCACTCCATTTTTCTACATACCTGCCGACATTGACCTATTTCCACCAGGAGGCAGGCAGAAAGCTCAGCTCCCTTAGCAGGGCTACAGACAGACAGACTGACTTGTAGTGTGAGCAGCCCCAACTCATCTCAGCTCCCAATGTCTCTGTCTACACCAGCAATACACACCACCCCAGAGTGCCAGGCCCACATGCAACCTGGAAGGGCATAAAAAGGCAAGCCTCCCCAAAACATCCTCTCAAACAACCCCTTCACAGGACATGTGCACCCTGATGCATACGTGGGAACCATCCCACCTTGATGCCGTTTACTTCTACTCCACTGTCATTTTCACAGAAGCCCTTTTCCCCAAAGCTGTGCTTCCCATGCTCATCTAGCATAAGCAGCCACCTATTTCATGACTGGGTGTGAGCCACGGGCAAGCTCGGGGAAAGCGTGCAGAACTTCATGGTGTGAGAACATTTCAGGCTACTTACTGCAAACCCAAAGGCAGAGGCGCTGTACCTCATGACGGAGACAGCTAGAAAGAAAGAAAACACCATTCAGATTTGACAGCCTTGTGGGTTCTACGCTTCGCTTGGGAGTTCAACAACACATCGGATACAAGCCTTTTAAACATCAGGGGAAAGCGCCAAGAGAAAAAAAATTAAAACTCAATGTCCAAAAATCTAAGAATTAAAAGAAAAAAAAGAGAAAGAAATTATTTTCGAATTCTACCTGCAACACTTCCCCCTCCTGCTGTGTTCTGAAGCATCCAAAGGCCAACTTCAGGGAAAACAAACAATTAAGCACCTGTCAGTCACATGGCTTCTGTGTCTTCGAAAATTCAGAACTGAAAGCAAGGAGCTGGGAACTAAATTTTCAGTGAAACTGAAACTTGAATCCTCCTGCCTCAGCTTCCTCAGTCTCTAGAACCACAGGCCTGGCTGGCTTTCAACTCCCAATCCATCTGCTCTCACTGGCCTTGGTACATTGGGCATGCACAGTTACAACATCCCTTCCTCTCATGTGCCCCAGAAGGTCACCTGCTTGGCAGATGTTAAACTGTGACTTCAAAATGTCTGCACTTAGCCAGGCGTTGGTGGTGCACACCTTTAATCCCAGCACTGGAGAGGCAGAGGCAGGCGGATCTCAGTGAGTTAGAGGCCAGCCTGGTCTACAGAGCAAGTTTCAAGATAATCAGAGCTACAAACAGAGAAACCCTGTCTTGAAAAACAAACAAAAGTCTGCACTTGAGTGATACCAGGCCTTTACCTGGGGAGCCACAGATCTCCAAGGAGTAGATGCCCAAGTTACTACAGTGAGAAATGTAAAGAACCTCACCTCGAATTAGTAATTAAACATATTCTGTCAGCTGGGAGGTGGGCTCAGGAGATTAAATGCTTGCTTGTCTTGCAAGCATGAGAGCATGATTTTGACCCTTTGTGCACAAGTAAAAAAGCCAGGCATGGTAGTGTAGAGGCCAGGCACCAGCAGGCAAGACTAATGCCATTTTAGAAGCTGCTGACCAGACCCTGAACCCAGTTCCTGGAAAATAACCACAAACAGCTAAAGGTGGCTTAACCCCAGCCCTGGCGAAATGGAGATGGGTGGACCCCTGGGTCTCTCTGTCAAGCCAGCCTACACTACATGGTAACCTCTAATCCAGTAAGAGACCACCTCAAAAAAAAAACAATGTTGGCGATGATTAAAAAACACTTGCTGCTCTTTTTTTCAGAGAACCATAATTTAGTTCCTAGCACCCATGTCCAGTGGTTCACAATCCCTTATTACTTCCAGCTCCAGGAAGCTGACACCTTCTCTGGCCTCTGTGGGCCAGGTCAATATACACACGCCTACAGATAAAGAGAAATACTATAAGCATTAAAAAAAAAAAAGGTGGCACACCACCGAAATACACACGGGAGATAGCCACTAAGGGAAGGCTTCTCTACTACCTGGAGTCCGACGACATGTTTCACTCTTGGAACTACACACATGTAAAGTGAGTTAAGCCTGCCAGGTGGACAGATAACCGATAGAAAATATGGACATTAATATTATTCATGCCCTGTGCGCAGGGCACTGTGAGCCAGTGGGGTCCTAGTGAACTCGGGGTCCTTCAGAGAGATGCGCTATTTACTTAAGAAGCACCTCCGTCTAATTCCTTGATAACATGCGAAGAGCAAAAAGCCAAAATTGCATGGAGAGTGGAGAGTCCTCTGAAGGGTCCTCACGGAAGCTCTGCGCTAGCAGGCTAACTCTCAGGTCTTGCTGCTAAATAACTGTAAACAGTCATCAGCCCGAGGCCCACATGGAAGGGCTCAGTAGCCTCTAAGGAATTTTTCAAGAGTGTCAGATAATAAGTTCATTTTCTTAGGCCCATAACTGAATCATAGCACATCCTGAATCCAGGATAAGAATTAATTCAACAGAAGTGGGTAGATAGGTTTAGATAGCCCTGTTTCCATGTAAAGAAGATCAAACTAAAGGGCTCTCTTTCCTTCTTTCTTTCACTCTTTCTTCCTTTCTTTCTTCCTTTCTCCCTTTCTTTTCTTTCATGTGTATATACATATGTGTGTAGGTACATTAGTATGTGTGTGGAGTCTGGAGGTAAAACCCCAGTGTTATTCTTCAAGAGCTGTCCACTTCATTTTTTTGTTTGTTTGTTTGGTTGGTTGGTTTTGGTTTCTCAAGACAGGGTTCTCTGTGTAACCCTGACTGTGCTGGATCTCACTCTGTAGACCAGGCTGACCTTAAACTCAGATGTCTGCCTGCTTCTGCCTCCTGAGTGCTGGGATTAAAGGAGTATGACACCGCCACGAGGCCCATGTCCTGTTACAAGACCAGGTCTCTCATTGCTTTGAAACTTGCAAAGAGGCTAGGTTGGCTGGTCAGCAAACCCCAGGGATCTGTCCCCCACCCCTAGCACTGAGAGTACAATAGCCCAACTTTCTTCTTCGGGTTCTGGAGATCAAGTTTAGTTCCTGTTGCTGGTGGAGTCTGCTCTTGACCGCCTAGCGCCATCTCCACAACCACCAAACCGAAGAGTTTTCATTGAGGCATTTCCAACCTTCCTCATGAAAGTTTGCTTTTGGAGAACAGGCCTGTCCCAGGGTGACCAGTGGAGGCAGAGAAGAGGTCAGAGGCACTCCATGCATGCACGAGCAAGCATAGCCCTAAGTCACCATAGGGCCCAGATGCTGCCTGTAAGGAGCTAGACTCAGTTGTGAAGGACACACATGGGCCATGTCAGCCTCAGTCACGCTGCACACTGAAGGCCCGTGAGAGGGCCGTGCGAGCAGCTGTGAAGGAGGGCATCCCTCTGAGGACCTGCTCTCACAGTGGTAGGGCCATGAAGATGAAGGGAATCAGAATTCTAAGATGCTGCTTCTCTGACTATTCACCCATGCCGGGGTAGACTTGTTGGTGATATAACTGGCTGTGCATCACACATGCTCTCCGAGGCAACCCCAGCCAACTCATGGTTCACCAAGGTGGACTTGGTTGGCATTGCTTCTTTGACTGCTGTTGGTCCCTCAAATGATAACAGTGGTTAACCTTGGAAGGACAAGAATATTTGAGGGTTTTCCCCCTTACTTTTTGGTGTTTTCTTACAGCCATCAGCAGTAACCATTCAAATTAGTTTATATATTTTATTTGGGGGGAAAACCATATTACCTAAAGATAAGCAAAGGTCTAAAATGAACTAGCAGGAGAGTTCAAGTACTTATCTAGAAATAGAAGGCACTGTTCTTGAGTGCTTCGGTCTGATAGGTATGCGTGGCTATGTATACCATTATTACATGTAGATTTCTGGGTCCCATGGTCTACATGAGCAGGTTGCTAATGGTTCAGAGTCCCCAGGTGTGTGATTGTGGGTCACATGAGCCAGGCAGCAGAACGCCAGCAGAACATCACTCCTTGCCAGACAGACCTCCAGCCTCCCACAGTTTGCATGTCCTAAGGCAGACTGTCATTTACTTGTGCTACACCCCAAAAGCAGGCACAAAACATAAGTTTTAAATAAACATTTGTACAGGCCTGGATAAAAGACCAGATTTCTTTCTTTTTTAACTAAGTCAAACCAGACCAAAAAGCATGTTGACTGGAAATAAATTCAAACAGAAAGGCAGCTGGAAAACGAACAGGACCCAGGAGACCCATTGTTAAGGCCAAGCCAAGGCAGACCTGCAGCTGAGTAAGCAGAGACTTGGAGGGAGGGTCTGCAAAGCAGGGGCAAAGAGCCTTGGAAACGCAGAAGGGAACATGCCAGCAAGGCAGCCAAGGACCAACAGCAAGACCCCTCCCCACAACACCCAACAAAGACTCCTGCTTCAATTGCCAGTGAGATTTCCAGAGACAATGAGGACCCATCTGTCATCCCCTCCAAAGTCAGGCAATAATTATCTTGAGCCTTAGCACTCTTTAGCAATACCCCAGGCCCTGCAACACCTCGGAGTTGTTAAATTATGTGAGCAGTAGAACTCCATTAATAAATCAATCCCAGTTTAATTAGACTGTCTCTATCACTCAGGCACCTAGCAGACACCTCCCCCACAGCTGGGGAACAAGCCCATCCTGGAGAGCCACTTCTCCATCACCCCCATCAGAGACAGGCTCTCCGCTCTTGCTCCCTGGAACTAGCGGGTGGGAAAAAAAAAGTAGTTTTCTGTGTTCTAACTCACTCCAACAAGATCTGTAATACCTTCCACACTCTACCCCTCTCAAACACGGTTATCAGCTGCTGCAAAATTAGTGATGGGATTCTTTTTTGTTTTTGTTTTTTGAGACAGGGCTTCTCAGTATTGTTTTGGAGCCTGTCCTGGAACTCGCACGGTAGTCCAAGCTGGCCTCAAACTCACAGAGATCTACCTGCCTCTGCCTCCGGAGAACTGGGATTAAAGGCGTGCGCCACCAGCGCCCGGCAGTGACTGGATTCTTGCTTCAGTGGAGAGGAGAAAACTGCTTAACACGTTTTTAATGTGATCAAAATACGTTGTATGAAATTCTCAGAGAAAAAAAGAATGAGTCAACATTGGGGAGACGGCTCAGTTAATAAAGTGCTTGCAATGAGAGCAGGAGGACCTACGTTCAATGTTCAGAGTCCGCCCATGTTAAAAGGTTGGGTATGGTGGGCTGTGTATTCTTGCAATCCTAGCACTGGGGAAGAGAAGACCAGTGGACCCCTGGGGCTCACTGGTCAGTCAGCCTGGCCTATTGGCAGTGAGAGACCCTGTCTCAAGAAACAACAGGAATGGCACCTGAGAAATGACAACCGAGGTTGACTTCTGATCTCTGCACACATGTATATCCCTACTCACAAATACATGTCAGCACGCATGCATACACACATGCCCTACACATACACAAACATGTGACGTGCACAAGAGGATAGGCTTGAAGAGGTTACTGAATGCTGCCCTCAAGCTGCTGTATCATTGATAACATCTTACAGCATCTTATGTCATTCTGTAACGAAAGATCCAGTCCCATTCAGGTTTCTCAGAAGAAATGACTGTCGAGATGCTGTGTTAGCAG